TGGGCTTCAGCGTCAGCATAGTCCCAGGCCGTGTTATAGGCCTCTTGATAGGACTGGGGAGGCCTCCTGCAGAATTCTTTGTATAGTTCTCCGGACCGGAGCCCGGATACAAGGAGGGACATTGCTGTCTTGTCGTCCATCTCCTCCACCTTGTCAACCTCATCCTTCCACCGGGTGAGGAATTTTGTCAGATCCTCGTGCTCTCGCTGCCCGGCTGTACTCAAGTAGGTAAACTTTTTCCTCTTGGTACAGTTTTCTTTGAACTTTTCTTGAAACACCTCAGCCAGTTCATCGAAAGAATCGATTTCACCGGCCGGTAAGTTATGAAACCACTCGGCGGCTCGGCCGCGGAGGGTCTGAAAGAAAAGCAAACATTTCTCATCCCCGGAAAGACCCATCATCTGCCCACTTTGATGGAGGGTTTTGACGTGAATTTCCGGGTCCTCCTTCCCGGTGAACTTCGGGACTTCAAGTTTCGCCTTCTTTGGAAATGGTGTTTCATGAACCCGGTCTGTGAACGGAGATTCGTTCAGCAGAACCTTCTTCTTTTCTTCTCGGTCTACTCGGCGTTGTAGTTTCTCCAGACGTGCCTCGACCCAGCCCACACGATCCCGAGGTTGCTCAACGTGTGAACGGGTCGTGTGCCTGGGGTGGCTTTCGGCTTCTTCCTCTCGTGGTGCCCGGCTGTGCTGGGGCTCATCGCGTGGGGATGGCTCCGTTCGCCTGGTCTGACCAGGTCATCCGGCTCCTCTCCCTGCACGATTAAAGGCACTAGCTGGAATGGTTTCTACCCCAAGCCGCTCTTTTGCTGACCGGTTCTGATTTCGGCCATCATGGCCAAGTCTCAGAAAGGCCGACCTCCTAGATCCTTCTGGCTGTACTGCCTTTCCCTTCAACTTCTTGATCGCCTGGGGGACGTCCCAATCCTCGTCTTTGATGTGCACTGAACGCACATCCCCGTCCGAGGTCACCTTTGTCTGTGACCTACGGGACCGGCTCCTTCTAGACCGGAATGGACCAGCTTTATCCATCTCTCCGATCAGGTTTGTCGGAACGATCGGGCGAATGACGTTAGTTTGAGGCGAGGATTGTGGATACAATCCGGGATTGAAAAGTGAAAACCCTCCCGGCTGTTGGAACATGGACATGAAATGTCCAAAATTCTGAAAAGCCTGACTGTACATTGGATCAAGGGGTCCGGGGAAATTTGAAGGAAAAACAGGAACAGGGTTCACGGGGGAAGTGAATGGGATAGGTGGTGGAATGGTGATGATGGGGGTAGGAACCTGGCTTGACGGTTGGGAACTTCCTCCCGGGAATGAAATGACATTCTCAGCGGGAGTAGAAATTTGTGAGATCACGGTTTCCTGATTACTGGCCATGACTTTTTTGTAATCGGTCCCACGGGTGGCGCCAATTTGATGGTGTAAATTATCACGCAAAAATTAAGTGTGAGTAATCGGAAGGGTTGTAGGTGGAATCACCTGTAACCCGGTTTGTTATTAAAGATAATAGGAGTTATTACAAATACAAGCCGTGTAGGTTAATTAAAACATGCCTCACAAATGAGGCTTTTAAGGGTATTTATAATAATCCTAAGCACGTCAAGCACGTCTCTGATTATTCAACCGGTCAGGCAGCTGACCGGCCCACCAGGTGCACTTGAGTAATGAGGTTTGTGGTAGTGAACATCAAATGTGTTCATAACGCCATCCTAGGCCGACCTGGAATAAACAAGGTCCGTGGAGTCATCTCCATGGCCCACCTCTACATGAAATTCTATACCCCAGGCGGTATAGGACAGGTCAGAGGAGATCAAAAGAAGGCCCGGCATTGCTACTTGGAGGCCGTAAAGAAAATGACCAAGGCATTTGAGAGAGTCACTTTGGTCTCTCAGGAAGAAGAGCGGTCGAAGCTAGAGCCGGGCGATGAAACTGAG